CTTTACACAATGATTGAAACTCATGGGAGTAATGGCGGCCCTCAATGCCTTGTCAATAGCTGAGCGAGCCTCAACGTTATCATTGCGCAAAAAGTTGTAAAGAAAGAGATTAAGATATCCAAACATCATCCGTCTGACCAGCGTTAGGTAACGCAAAGTGGGACTTTGATGTTGAATCCGTTTTCATGAGAGACAAGAGAGTTCCCACCACCTATGGCGTCCAAATTTTCACTTTCAGGGTACTGAACTTTCCAAACCGAGTTATACCAGCGTGTCATGACATTTTTTGCAACATCAGGTTTTCCATTCTGTTGGGCATATTCATACTGATTCCAGATACAGTGAATTCCAGGGGATTCTTTTGGCCATTATGAAGGGCTTCTTCAAACCCGATAAAACCCATATTCTCGGAATCATAGTTTGGCACTCGTGCAGATATCAGAACAAGTTCTAGGCAAGATGGATACACTTTTCTGTATTTTTCGAACATACTTTGACTGCAGTCAGCACTACCGAGTGCAACCAAACACTTAATGTGATTGAGTGCAAAATCTTGTGCTGATTTGAAATCAATTTCACTCTTAAAGGATCCGATTTGATGTACGAGTCAACAAACACTTACTACAATTTCTAACAACTGTAAAGCCCTTTTCATTTCATCATTGCCTAAATGAACAGAGGGCCATTCGACTGGAAGGAGTTCTTTCTCAAGCTCCAACCGCTGCACCACAGCATCTGGCAGCTTCCTGTAAATAACCAAGTAAATACAAGAAACCCATAATACACATTTGTCAGAAATGGTTAAGCATTTGAGGATATCAGAAAACATCGAACAGTGAGGCCCATCAGAATTTGTTGTAGCAGGGAAGAGTCTATATACTGTCTGGATGGCTTTCTCAAAACTCCCAGATATGCACAAACAATCCATCATCTGCAAAAACAGGTCTAAGATGCATGCACTCATATGCATTACATTCTTTCCAGAAGAAGCACCACGACAAAGTGCTGAAAGTGCAACCTCATAGGCAATCGATCATCCAATTGTTTTCGACTGTTGATGTACATAAGCCAAAGTACATATGATCCTCCATTGCTTCTGACCTGAAGACCAAGAAAAGACGTATGCCCAAACAAAAGGTTTGAATTTTATCTGAATTCTCCAAAGGAGGAACAAGCATGTCTATACATACACATTTTTATAGATATTCATATTCATACATGCTTAGTTTCTGCGTAAGATATATAAAAAAAAAGAGGAATACCCAAGATTTGAAGTGCTACCTATGTAGAAGTAGGACACTAATTTAATGCCAATGCAAAACGAACATTTAAAATTAAAAGAATAAGTATTGAAAATAACATAATAGAGATTTGCAAACACACAAAATACTTGGGCAATATCTTAGGCAAACCTAAAGAATGACACGTGAACAACATGCACACATATGAAGCAATAATAACAGTCTTCACAGATATTTTCAGATTTTCTATTCCACGACCCACCCACCGATACAAAAATAAAAACCAACTTTACCCAATCCCAAAATCATTACTGTAACATGTCCATTCATGCGTCATTGGACTAGTAATTTCTTAGCTCTACTGCTTCTATCCAGTTCCCACAGTAGCAAAGAGATAAAACCACTAATGGAAACCAGTGACCCCAACCAGGTTAAAACAGAAAATAAAGATCTCAAAAGCATGCATAAGACAATGGTCAATATAATTAGTTTCCAAATGAAGAGAACTATGGACAGCCAAGATGTTCCGATAGTTAGACACTGTTAGTGTCTGTATGAACTACCATTAGAAGAGTGAATCAACAAAACCAATAGACAAACCTCTACATATCAGATGTAGTTACAGTTAACCAATACCATACCTCCAATATCTGAATGTCACCAACATGCAGAGGGTCGAAATAATAATTATAACCATGCATATAAATTTACATACTGCAAAGGAGAACATGTCAAGCATATAAATTTACATACCGCAAAAGAGAACATGTCGTCCATTCCAACAAACAGCCTACGGCTATAGCAAATAAGCAGGTAAACCATCCAGAGAGTTTCTGATGCTGGATCAGCCTCGAGGGACCGTGAAAGCAAAGAAAGAGCCTGCAAATTAAAAAAGTGGAGTTGATGACCGACAGAACTGTTGGTATAAGAATATGAGCCACATGTTATCTTGCAGGTTGCTAAGGTTACCTTTTTCATACCCTCCAATTTATTAACCTCCTGGTTGAGGATAAGCAAAGCCATCCAAGGACTGGACCATCGTATCAAAAGATTGGTTGAGTTTTTCTGAGTACACACCATGAAGGACTGTCTTAATTAGAATATGGATGTAAACAACACTATGCTAAATTGTCATTTATGATACAAAAAAAATGTAAATGAGCAAGCAAGCAAACACTGATTGAAAGTTGAAAAATAACAGAAGGCATTGCTTTTGACAATCTTGGAGAGAGCACCAGGTTTTTCCCAAAAGAAGACCAAAGGGTTTAACCGTAGGAAATTGTATAAAGAAAACAGGAAATCAGTTATAGAATGTTTCTTGGAAAAATAACCAAGACTTCCCAATTTCTTTCAATCTCGCAATTAACCAGAGATTATTAAAGAATAATGGAAGTTCAACCCTATGCTCACAGTCAAAGGGGCTTAAACAACACATACTTGAAAGTACACAAAACAATTTAGGGGAAACAGAGACTGAGTGATGTTGCCCGGTCTGTACATAAATATCAGGCAGGAAATTTGTAAAGCTAAGATAAACAAAAGAAAAGGATTAAAAAAAGAGTAGAAAAATAAAATAGAATGCGTTACAAACCGCTATTCCATTTCTACTTTGGAAATATGAGGATTGCCTATTCCAGCTTCCATACACTTCGATACGACCATCGTCACCATGGAAGAAAGATTCATCATCTGTAGGTAATCGTTCATCTGTAGGTAATCGTTCATCTGTAGGTAAATCCTTCCGAAAAATGCTTGATAGAGATAAGCAAATACTGAAATACTTCCACCAGCAATGTGCATTTCCCCAAGGCACAACACATTCGTGTGGATCAGCTTTCAGAATATCTAAGCTGACAATATAAGTTGGTGAAATGAAAACATCATAATATTTGGCAAGTTTTGTTGGACCATTAATTTGCTCTTGATATGATGCCAGAACAAGCTGAGAATCTGCAAAAGGGTTATTTCAACAAGGTTAGCAACAAAGCACAGGTTTCCAAATTTGTAAAAAAAAAATGTTATTCATACCAGCACTGTCAGAATCATCATTTCTATTCAAATATGTATTTCTCTTGGACAACTCCTTGACATGTTGAAAGGGGCATTCATCATTGTTGCATTTTCCTCGGAGCTCATACATGCAGAGTGGCCAAGATGGGTCAACTGCAATATTGCACACATATGAGCCCATTTGTTTCCCAGATAAATCACGAATGGACTCCTCTAAGTGTTTGTAATCTGACCAGACTGTTCAATTTCATCAATGATGACATAAGCACCCTCTTCACTATAGACATGGTCCTCTCTTTGTCTGGAGACAAGAGACAAGGCCTTCAAATGGCCAATTGCACTCCTCAAATGGAAGAAGGTGAAAATATTGTAGATGTCACTGGAAAGTGGCATCCAGCAGAAAATCCATTGTCCGCTACATTTTCTGAAGAATGAAACTTTAGAATATATTTTTTTCCTGGTGCTGGCCCTCATTCTCCACCAGAGCTTCTGGTGTAACTTCATTTGGTTTTTCATGGCCTATATCAGGAAATGTCTATTGTTATATAATTTTTCAGCAAACCAAAATAATGCTGCTAAAACATTGTTCACAAAGATATACTACCTGAAACATCAAATTGATGCTTTTTCTCTGCCTCTGAGAGCGTAATACTGCCATTGCTCATCTGGGTCTTTTCACTTTCAACATCATTTCAGCCCCTCGTTCGATAGAAGGCTCATTGTAACATGAATCAATGTTCTTTGATGAAGTTCTCACCCCAGCCTTGCAAATAGTTCAGGCCTCAATGATGCTTCAAGAAGCAAAGAATCCTGATTACTAGACTCATTATTTGCATTCTTTCAATTACTTCAGAGTTCTGTTGTTTTTGCTGATAGTCAGGACTGGGTTGAAAAGAATCAAGGTCCATTAGAGAAGTCCCTTCATCTGCTGAAATAATAGGGCTGCACGGAGATCTTAATCCATTAGCAGCATTGTTGCTAATATTATGAGGAAATGGCTCTGATGTACTAGCATCCTGCTCACTGCATGGTTCAGAACCCAAATTTTGTCCATTGTTATGCCGTAGAGACATATTTTGAGGAGCTATATTTACACATTGGACATTTGCATCGTTCCCTGGTTGATGAAGACCGTCATAGGCAGGCGGTAGTATTAGATATCGGTACAAGGTTCATATTTTCAGGTACATCATCTGAGATATCCAATCCTGTTCTGGTGTGCTCATGTTGCCTGGAAGACCATAATAAACAGGAATTGTCCACAATTAAAGATCTGTAGCGGGCCGAACAAAGTTCCCTTTCACGATAAAGAACTGTACTCTAGCATTAGCTTCAATCAAAGCTCTCTGAGCTTTCCGGTAAGCTTTAAGTGCATTTCTTTCTTCAATTTCACACAAGCGTCTGTGGTTCTGTGCTTCCTCTAGCTCCTTGTCCAGATTTTCCTCAATTCAACTAAAGAATGTATATCCACATCTACATTAGAATGACCAGAGATATTTACATTACTCAAACTTTCCACAGCCTTGCGGTATCCTGAGATTTCTGAAATTCAATGTTAGTAAAGTTTCAGCATAGTCATAATATGAAGCAAGACCCGTCAGATGACACATAGGACGGGAAAAATGCATTGAATATTCGACTATGACATTTAAGCAGGGTGGAAAGCAGCTATGATATGTTATAACCACACAATTCCAGTATTTTTTAAGAAACATTTTCAGTGAAGTGCACCACTGCACCTTAAAACGTCAACTTACCAAGTTATTTGGCATAGCATTGGCACTTATGTTTGTTAAAGGTGCAGTCTTATTTGCTAAAACACTTGGATCAACCTCCCTACTGGACCTTTTGGATTGTTGCAAATTCTTATGCAAGTCGACACCTGTGGGATGAAAGAACCACATCAGTCAGAGCATCCACAGGATTGTATAAATTAAAACAGATGAACAATTTATTTTACCATCCTTCACCACTTTAGATGTGTCTTCTGATGAAATATCAACCAGCTTGTCATCTTTCTTTTCCATTTAATGTTTGACATGGCTTTGCTTACTGGAGCTACTTTCTTGCTTTGCTCAACCTTATCCTTGCTCTGAAGACTGTTTGTCTCCATTTTTTGGTCTTTTGGCACTGAATTAGATTTTACATGACTTACCTCTGGTTGGGCACCTGAATATGACTGGGTAAAATTAGAATCTCCGGCTTTCAAGCGTTTCTTCTGTGGTTCTTTTGGATCTATTGAACCAGCATATGCTGAAGCTGCAATCCACTTCCTTCCTCCACTATCTTCTAGGTTCATAGTTGTTGTTTCCTTATGTTGAGCCTTAAGCTTCAATTCGCTTTCCCTAAGTGCAATCTGATGTCTCAAGTCCTGTAGTTTACTATTGTTGGAAACTGCACCTTGCTCAGGCAAAAGATCTTGGCAAGCCACATTTTTGTTGTGGGGATTAAAATATCTAACTTGTGATCCTTGATCAACCGAAGAAACAGAAACCTTGGGATTGGCCCTACCATTGGTCTTGGTCATTGATGAGATAAATGTACGGCTTAAAGGTTTCTTGGGAATTACTCTGGTAATATTCCTAGAAGTCTGTCCTAACTTGTTCATATTTGGTACAGATGAAGTTAGGGGTCTCTGCGAACCATCCCAAGTTGAGTTGGATTTATTTTCAACAGGTTTTTGTCGACTAGATTCTTCCAAGTCACTTCCACTGTCATCATCTGAAAAGCGTATTACAAGATTATGATGCCTCCAGAAGGTGCATACCAACTACGATTAATGGATTTAACTGGCAACTGATTCTTCTCAACATTTTTCTGACTCATTGGTGGAATTGGTTGTTTTGAGAGAACGTCAGTAGCACTGGCAATATTATTACCAGCAATAGCATTCCCTATATATATCAGCGGAAACATTAAAATATATTAAAATTCAGAAAACAATTAACTGTTTTCACAATATTAGAAAACTTTCTATATTGTAGGTAAAAAGGCATTTCCAGATGTAGTGAAGGCAGCAGAGGTAAATAAAAGCAGAAAAAACTTAGATAAAAAGACTTATAAACCATCAAATAGCATTGAAATACTGCATTCCTTGGAGTGCAATTTGAGCTCGAGTTTAATACTAATATACATACAGACATTTCAATGGGCTTCACTGCAACAAAATAAGCTCTGAATATGTTGGAAACATCGAAGCTACTTGAGAATCTCAGCATTAGCCTCTAGGACTTACCAGACAGATTTGGTGGTATGGGTTTCACTGGTGAAGGCGCTGCATTAGGCCTCGAAGGTGGGCAATAGTACCACTAGGCTGTTCAGTGGAGCAATCCAGGTTTCCTGGAAAGAAAAAGCATTTAATACAACAAAAGTCTGGTACATACTTTTGATACAAAGAGAGAAAAATGAACCCAAAACAACAGACAAATAGCAAAACTTATATATATATTAACCAAGCTACAGCTTAGTATATTTCAAAAGAAACAAAGTTATCACTAAAACCTCTGCTTCGGATCCATTTTACAAAGAAACAAGAAGTTTCTAAACTAAATGTAACTAAGCAAACTAATATACAAGTATAGTATGCCTTTAAGTCTAAAAAAAAACTTAAACTACGAAAAAAGAATCCGACCTTCATTTATCTTATTTAAGATCGAAAGTGATGAAATATTTTCTTCCCTTTTCCTCGATTTCTCAGCAACCATACACAGCCCGTTACAATAATCAAAGTTCAAAAATCCATATATACACACACAATAAATCTGTAAAATTGGACAAATGATTTTTCATAGAAATGAACACTTCCTTATATTTCCGCAGCAGCCAAAAAACAGTTAAACAAACGAAGAAAATATATATATGAAATTAGAATTAAGAGAGAGAGAGAGGAGTACGATTACGTCGTCGTATGAATCAGAGAGCTCGCCTTCTTCTTTAGTTTTAGAGTCTTCGATGTCTTGTTAGGGTTTACATTCGTTGAATTTGAAGCCATTGCTTTGGTTTTAAGCTCATCATCATCCATGAATTTAATAATATTTTTCTTTATCCTTTTCCCCCTCCTTGACTTTCTCCTTTAGACTCAATCGTGAGGTAAAAAGAAAAAAGAAACCGTCTCTTGAACGTCACGGTGAATCGGGTTGTAGAGGAAAATTGTGATGCTGGAAAAGAATCGAGAGGCGGGCGGATCTTTTTTAAAGACGGGAATACCCTTCATCTTGTTATCGATTTACGTACTTGGGACTTCCGTTCGTCAATGTTCTCGATATCGACAGCTCAGCTAAGAACCGAGTCATATATAAACCGGGCATGATTTTCTGGTTTGGATTAGATTCGCTTTCAATATAATTAAATAAAGAATTAATTATAAAATAATTCCTTTCGTTTAAATTTTATATATTTTTTCTCGTTGAATTCAACAAATATAATATTTAATTATTTTTAAGTTTATTTAATTAAGATATAATCACTAAAAATTATTTATCATTAGATCTTTAATGGATTGCTTACATGACATATTAAATATAAAAAATTAAAATGATAACTATGCAAATAATCATTAATATCTAAATAAATTTTAGTTTTTCTAATTATTTTACATTGATTTTTCAAAATATAATCACTAATATCTAGTTGACATGATCGTAGTATTAAAACTAGTGAGGCAACAGGCGAGTGTAACTAACTTTTTATATAAAACGATATGAGGATGGCATGTGATGATTCAATCTCAATCGATCTGAAAAAAAATGCTTTTAAATTGATTTTAAAAATACACATTTTATTATTATTTATTGATAGCATGTGAATATTTTGAGTATGAACTGCCCAAAATTGGTTTTTCTGATATTTTTATTTATATTCGTTATATGAATGTTTTATATGGAGAACATATATGATTTTGAATTACGTCGTTGTATGAGACTGAGAGTTAGTAGTACAAATGGCATGTCATGAGGTAGAGTAATTCTTGATTGTTGTTCACTGATTAATGATACTGGCATTTTATGTGCACAGTGGGTTCACAATATTGTGACATTGTGAAATCCATATCAGATTACTGGTACAGTGATTTTGTGTTTTACAGTACTTGTACATTACTGTTACTAGCGATGGAAGTACAAATTATTACTGATAATAAATTGCAAAAAAAAAACACGCTCACTCGTTTACTGACTCATGTACCATATATCCTCATGATGATACAGTAGACAATAATGAATTGAAATAAAGTAGTACATAATTTTTTTACACAGTATTGTTGATTGTCAAACTGTTTAAGTAAATTTTTATTACGGGTTTGAATTGACAGTTAAATATAAAATGTCAGTATATGCAATAATTTATTGCTCACAATTTGATTTATATGTTTAATTTTAATAGTAATTTTTTATATGATATCAATTGTTCTATATGTTAAAAGTTTTACTTATTTTATTATTGTTGGGATTTGTGGAAGCTTGAATCGACAACAGAAAGTGTTGCAATGAAATGAATTGACAATAATATGTTTAGGGAGTAAGGAGAATAAAAGATAGAGAAAATTGATACAATAATTTATAGTGGTTCGACTTATCAACCAAGTCTACCTCCACTACCTAAGCTCATCACTTAGAATTTTCTAACAAAT